GGACTTATATCCAGAATTTATGAAATACTTGAGTACCACAACAAGATAAAGGTAAATAATCCAATAGAAAAATGGGTACAGGATATGAACAGACACTTCACCAAAGAAGACATTTAGATGGCTAAAAAATACATGAAGAAATGTTCAAAATCCTTAGCTCTAAGAGAGATGCAAATCAAAACAACTGAGAGATAACACCTCACCCCAGTCAGAATTGCAAAATTTAACAGAAGAGAAAGCAACAAATGCTGGCGAGGTTGTGGAGAAACTGGAACACTTATTCACTGTTGGTGGGAGTGTAAAATGGTGCAACCACTGTGGAAGGCTGTATGGTGCTTTCTCAAAAAGTTGCAAACAGAGATACCTTTTGGCCCAGCAATTCCACTACTGGGAAAATACCCCAAAGAGACCATAACTGACATCCAAGCATATATGCACACCCATGTTTACTGTGGCTTTGTTCACAATAGCAAAGAGTTTGAAAAACCCAAGTGCCCATCAACAAACGAATGGATAGAGAGGCTGTGGTATATTCACACAATGAAATACTATGCAGCATTGAAAAACAAGGAACTCATGCAATATTATTCAAAATGGGTGACTCTGGAGGACATTATGCTGAGTGAAGTATCTCAGTCACAAAGAGAGAATTACTGCATGGTGCCACTATTGTAAAACAGGAGTGACCTTGGGTTTGGAGACAGACTGAGAAAGATGGGTTCAATAATGTATACTGTGTTGAAACATATGAGGGAGAAAACTATTTAAAAGGGATATGTGATTAGGTATTTTTGTCATGGCACGAGTCTAGAGGGAAGGCTACATGGTGGAGTAGACCTGAGGGAGGGTCTGTAAAACAATGAAAGAATTTTTCTTTTACTTTTCCAAGAGGGTAGTGTTCTCGGGGAGAGGGTTGGGAGGGGAGAAAAGTGGAACAATGAATGAATGGAAATCCAAAGAATCTGTAAATTTTTAATGAAATTAATAAATTAAAGAAACAAACAAAAAAACACCCACAAAAACAAATTGGCATTTTCTGCTTTTAGCCAAGCTCTGACAGCAGCAATGACATTCCTTGGTCCTTGTCATTTATTTGTTGGTTTTGAATAATCTCAAGTAAGAGTTTATTTGCAAGCAATATTAATAATATTGTTCAATAATATATTCATCTTTGTTTAAATGGGCACAAATTAAGTTGGCCAAGTAGCTATCTTCCAAACTTCCTGGGCACAAAAGGAGCACTGGTGGCTTAGGGATAAGGAATTGTGGTGCCATGGTAAAGGAAAACAATTCAAATCCACGAGCTACATCGTAGGAGAAAAATGGGCAAATTTCTTGGCACAGATAGATGAATGAGTATATCTAGGACAGTATCCCTTTGTTGACACATATTAGTAAAGCTTCCTATGCATTAAACTTAAAACAACCAAATAGAAACAATAACAAAATTTTACATATTTACAACCACAAATTATTATTTTCTAGGTTGAGGGTAGATGACACAGATGGCAAGAAATTATGGTGGCCAGCTAGGTATGACTTTTCATTTTGTCTCTCTGAAATGACTATCTGACCGTCTGTTATTATAGCCAGGAAAGATAAGGAAAGACTGAGGAAATGTTTTCTAATGGATGAGACTTAAAATTCAGGCTAACTAAATGGCACATGTGCATTAGAATATGGGGGAAAAAAGGGAGAATGAAGAGGTTTTGAGTTGACTTGTATGACTGGATTGCAATTTATTCATAAGTATTTTTGTAAAAAATTATAGATATGTAAAGAATAATTAGAGGATAGCACCAAAAGTAACAAAAATACTAACAGGCAAAGGTAATAAAATGTTAATAACTGGGAAATCTGAGTTTGAGACATAATGCTGTTGTTGTTGTTGTGTGCCAAAGAATTGGAACTGATCCATAGCTGACCCGCTAGAGGGTTTTCTGGTGCAGTTGATAGCACGGGAAGAGACTTCTCCTCCCATGGAACAGCTGGTAACTGTGCCTTTGGGATTGTAGTGCAGTGTCTTGCCACTAAGACACCAGAGCTTGGAGATACAAAAGACTGATATTGTTTTGTAACTTTTCTTTAATTCTAGATTATTTCTTAATAATCTAAAATAGGGAGGTGAAATAAACATCCTGAGACAAAACCTAGTAAAGTGAAGGGAAAGATCATGTCTATTATAAACCAATCTTTTTACCTTTTAGATTCCAAGCTATGTTTGGAAGAAGGCTGTAGAAATTCCCTGCCAGATATGGAATCCCTGAATTCTCCAGTCACTGAAAGTATGATTTTATGCATGTTTCCATAGAAGAGTTGAATATCATTAGGGCATTGAGGAAGATCGTTTACTATAATAGAAAATAATCAAAGAATAACATAATAAAATATAAACAGTAACACAATTTTACATACTTACAACCACAGATTTTTATTTTCCTAGGCTGAGGGTAGGTGACACAGTGCTATCTAACAAGAAATTATGGTGGACAGCAGGCTCAGGCTCTTGCCCTGGATTTGAACCACAACTTTTGATACTGACTACCTTTGTGATTTCTATTTACCAAACTTCTCTAACTCATCCTTGCTTAAATAGAAGAGGGTGGTGGTATTTTTTGGTGCTGTCAAGTCAACTACAACAAACAGCAATTCCTGGAACAATAGATGTGAACCCTGGCCTTCCCTACACCATCCTTACTGACCCTGTTATTCTCGAGCCAACTGCTACAGTAACTATGCTGATTCATCCTATTCAGTTTCTTTTGCTGACATTTATAAGCATGATGACTTTTTCCAAGGACTAGTCCCGAATTTGCACCATCCTTGCTCTACAGCTGCTCCTTCTTCAAGGCATAACTGTTTGTTCTTTGTCAGACCATGGGATAGATATTCACTGTGCTTCTCTTCTCCAACATCACAGCTCAAAGGTATCAATTCTTCCTCTCTCAGTTTTAGTCACAGTTCAAATTTCAGATGCATAGGAAGGAATTAAAAAATCCATGGTAAATGAGGTGCATTTTAGTATTTATCTGACATTTGCTTCTTAGCACCTTGTTGAGATTCTTAACAGCAAATTTCCCAAATGCAACATGCCTTTTCATTTCTTGATTGATGAGTCCCAGGGTGTTCATTGCAGATATAAGATGAAATCGTTAACAACTTCAATATTTTCTTCATCTATCACGATGCTACCTACTGACAAAGTAGAAAGGATAATTTGCCTAATGTTGAGATCGATTACATCTGTGGAAAGAACCGCTGGAGAAGCTCAATATCAGCTGTGAAAACTAGGCCAGAAGCTGATTGTGGAACAGACCACCAACTACTCAGATGCAAGTTCAAGCTGAAGCTGAGGAAAATTAAACCAAATCCAAGGCAACCAAAATATGACTTTGAGTCTACCACACCTGAATTTCAGAACCATCTCAGGAACAAGTTTGAGGCCTTGAACACTAATGAGCGAAAACCAGATGAGTTGTGGGATCATCCAGGAAGAGGGAAAACGGACACTGCAAAGACAGAAGAGGAAGCGAATAACAAAATGGATATCAGAAGAGACTCTGAAAATTGCACTGGAGCGCAGAGAAGCCAAAGCACAATGAAGAATTCAAGACACTAAAGGGTTGAATAGAAGATTTCAAAAGGCAGCACGGGATGACAAAGCAAAATATTACAACGAAATGTGCAAGGAGTTGGAGTCAGAAAATCAAAAGGGCCGAACTCACCCAGCATATCTTAAGCCCAAGGAACTGAAGAACAAATTTAAACCTCGAGTTGCTATAATCAAGGATGCTTTTGGCAGAATGTTAAATGATCCAGGAAGTATTCAAAGAAGATGGAAAGAATATACTGAGTATCACAAGGAATTGGCAGACACAGAAGAATTTCATGAAACAACATATGAGCAAGAGCCTATGGTGATGAAAGAAGAAGGTCAGGCTGCTTTGAAGGAAATGGCAAAAAATAAAGCTCCAGGAATAGATGGTATACCAACTGACATATTTCAGCTAACAGATGCTGCCCTGGACGTGCTCAGCAAGTTGTGCTAAGAAATCTGGAGAACAACCACTTGGCCAACTGACTGGAAGAGATCTATATTTGTTCCCATCCCAAAGAAAGGTGACCCAACAGAGTGTGGAAACTATAGAACAATCTCATTGTTTTCACATGCAAGCAAGATTTTACTGGAGATTATAAAAAAATGACTGGAACAGCATATCAGCCAAGAACTGCCAGAAGTCCAGGCTGGTTTCAGAAGGGGTCGTGGTACTAGAGATACTGTAGCTGATGTTAGATGGATCTTGGCTGAAAATACCAGAGGAATGTCTATCTGTGTTTCATTAACTATGCAAAGGCATTTGACTGTGTAGATCATAACAAACTGTGGCTGACTCTGAGAAGAATGGGAATCCCAGAACACTTAATCGTGCTAATGCGAAACCTATACTTGGACCAGGAGGCAGTCGTCAGAACAGAGCAAGGGAACACTGCATGGTTCAAAATTGGGAAGGGCGTACGCCAGGGATGCGTCCTATCTCCATACCTTTTCAATCTATATGCAGAACAGATTATCCGGGAGGCTGGGCTCTATGAGGAGAAATGTGGGGTCAAGACTGGTGGACGATCTATCAACTATCTGCATTATGCAGATGACACACCCTGATTGCTGAAATTGAAGAGGGCCTGAAGCGCCTGCTGCAGAGGGTCAAGGACTGCAGCCTACAATATGGACTGAGGCTCAATGTCAAGAAGACAAAGATTCTCACCACTGGACCAATTGGCAGCATCAGGATGGATGATACAGAAATTGAGATTGTACACAGCTTTAGTTGCTTGGCTCCACAGTCAACAGTCTTGGCACCAGTAGCCAGGAAATTAAAAGGCGCATTGCCATGGGAAAGTCTGCTGTTAGGGACCTCTCCAAAGTACTGCAAGAGCAATGGTGTCTCTCTGGAGACTAAGGTACGCGTGATACAGGCCATGGTCTTCACAACCACTTGTTATGCATCAAAGAGTTGGACAATGACCAAGGAGGATAGAAGAAGAGTTGATGCCTTTGAGCTGTGGTGCTGGAGAACAGTATTGAGAGTACCATGGTCTGCTACAGATTGGTCCTGGAAAGGGTTAAACCGGGTGGCTCCTTGGAGGCAAGGATTCTGAGGCTCCATCTAACATACTTTGGACATGCTGTGAGGAGAGACCGGTCCTTGGAGAAGGACATCATGCTTGGGAGGGTGGAGGGACAGCACAGGAGGGGAAGGCCCTCTATGAGGTGGATTGATTCAGTGACTGGGATAATTGGGATGGGAGTGTCAGAGACAGTGCGATTGGCACAGGACAGAACAGAGTTTAGGGCTGTTGTACATAGGGTCGCTATGAGTTGCAAGGAACTCGACGGCACATAACAACAACAACAATGTTGAGATGCAGTCCATGTTGTAGCCTATAGTCCTTGATCTTCTGCACCTCAAGTTCTCCACATGTTCAGCAAGCAAAGTCACATCATGGTCATAACACAGATTGCTGATGACTCTTCCTCTGATCCTATGCCACATAATTCATAAAGTGAGCTCCTCAAGTGATCTGTTCTGCATACAACTTGAATGAGACAATCATATTATCTATAATGCAGAGAATGAAAAAGTAAATAAGAACAGTGCTGTATACATAGTGAAAAAAAATTCCTCACCCTAAAAAAACAAGAACTGCCATCCAAGCAGGTAAATGCACACTCATGTTTATTGCTGCTTTGTTTACAATAGCAAAGAGTTGGAAACAACCCAAGTGCCCATCAACAAATGAATGTATAAAGAAGCTGTTGTGTATTCACACAATGGAATATTATGCAGCACTGAAAAACAAAGAACTCATGAAATATTATACAAAATGAGTGACCATGAAGGATATGATGCTGAGTGCAATATGTGAGTCACAAAAAAGACAAATACAGCGTACGAAATTGTTATAAAACAGGACTGACATGGAGGTTGGGGGAAACTAAGGAAAGAGGGAATAAATAATATCTATGGCATTGAAACAGACTAGGGAGAGAACTGTATAAAAGCAATATATGATTAGGTATTATTGGCATGACAAGAGTCCAGAATAAGAGTGGCATAGTATAAAGTGGTCTAGGGAGGGAACTGTAAGAAAGAAACTTTTTTCCAAATAAAAAAGTGAACTGGGGGGCAGGGGCACAGGGGGAAGGCAGGGAGGAAAATGTGCAACAATGAATGAATGGAAATCCAAGTTCTTTATAAACTTTCATTAAAATTAAAAAATCAATTAAATTTTTTTTAAAAAACGATACTATACATACGAGTAAGACTATAGTAGAATTTGCATACATTCCTGGTAATGGCTCCATAAATTGGTTCAAATATTTTGGTGAATAATGTGACAATTTATTGCAAAAACTACTCATTTGCTTTGCAAGAATTTATTCTAGTAAAGTACAAACATTACACATACATACTTAAATATATATTAAATATGTATGACTATGTAATATTCCACATATATTTCTAAAGATTCATAGAAGCAACTTCTCAAGAAAAATCAGAAGGCAAATTATTATTATATTATGATTGCTACTACAGATAATTCATTAAGCACATAAAAGACAATACTCATACATACTAAAGAAAAAGCAGTTCGAGGAGATCAAAGATGGCGGCAGTAGTGGAGAAAGCAATGTGAAAAGCCGGAGGAGCAGAATGCTGCATAGAGATGGACCACTAGAGAGACCTTCTTGCCACAGAGACTGACCAACATGGCGTGATGTGGACAGTGGGAATTCGAATTAGAACTTTTGTTGGAACAATTAGTTTTGGAGCTACAGGAACATAGATCCATGACACAGGATGTGTAATGGGCTGACCAAAGCCAGAAGCTGACAGCTGAGAAACTGTGGGACCCATCCGCCAGGAGAAAGGTTAGCAGGAAACTGACTGAGGTCGCTTAAGCACCACTAAGAATGAGTGGGTCTGTTGGAATTTGTCTGAGTTTTCTTGTGCCCCTGCCAACCACCCAGAATCGGGCAAATTGGTAGGAATTTGAATGGGTTTTATGGGCAACGCCGATTGCCTGGGACAGCACCCAAGTCCACTGGGGGGAATTTGGCTCAGTTCTCTTGGGCCCCACTGACTGCCCAGGAAGGGGTGGGCCAGTGGGAATTTATCTGAGTTTTCTTGGACACCACTGACGGCCTAGGAGAACATCCAAGAGCAAGCAGGCTGGTGGGAATTTGACGGAACTTTCATGGGCACCACAGACCAGCCAGAGGTGAGTGGGTTGGTGGGAATTTGAGTCATTTCGGGTCCTACTGGACCCAAGGCCCTACTAGGCAGTG